TCGACGGGCCACCTCACCCCGCCACGTCCGGAGGGGAAACGGGGGCGATGGGCTCACCTGGCGGTGGCGTCCGGCGAACACTGGGGGGCGCAGCCTCTGGAGGACGAAAGCGAAAGCTGAGGTGGGAGCGCTCCGCGGCGCACCGGTGCCCATAGCGGATTTCCCTGGCGCGAAGCACGAGGAGCCGGCAGAGAGGGAGGGAGGGAAGGAGGGTAGGGGGTCGGGCTGGATTGGCAAGCGTCGCTTCGCCTCCTTTCGGTCCCAACCCAAATCCGTTCCCCGCTTTGCCTTGCCTTGCCCAGCTTTGCCGTTCATCCTCCCCCGCGCCTCTCTCGGTCGGGGGGACCTGGCCACGCCCCGGCGGCAACCGGGAGATGCCCCGAAGCCCTTCTTCGCCTTCCATTTCCCCAACATCCAGGGTCTGAATGTTGTCGTGGGACCTCCCGCCACGGGCAACCTCTCCTCTAGCTTCTTTTTGGTGGGCTTTCTCCTGAAAATTCGGAATGAGGGGGCGGACCACTAGTTTTGGAAGGAAAAAAAACACACACAGAAACGTCGGGGTGACGCTTAGCAGTTTTGTTTTGTTTTTTTCCTGTCGCAAGAACGGCAAGAGTTCTGGGGAAACACATAAAGTCGTGTCTGGCTCACCGTCCTCCTCGCTAGTGTCCTTGGATAAACATTACATTTAAAAAGTCTCATCAAGAGATGATACTCTCTGCGGAACTTTAAGGGTGAAATCGGTGCTTTGAAATAAGTTGCTGAAGCTGCTGAAGCTTTTGGTTTAATTTCATTCGTGCCCTGAAATTTGCTAAAAGTGCCTTTTATCTCTTGTGGGGAAGAGAGGTGTGTGTGTGAGAGTGGGGGAAGGAGGGAGGGAGGGAGAGGGAGATACTGAAGATTGTTTGGTGCTATTATTATTATTATTAGTAGTAGTAGTAGTAGTAGTAATGTGTTGACTGATTGCATTCCCATTCTTTCAAGATCCCAAGGCAATAATATAGTAAAAATTGGAAAATGATAGGATGCCAAAACTCTCACTACCTTGTATGCCAATCAAGTTGTTGGCATACCTTCCTGCTTATTCTTTTCATGCTACTCTCTGTTCATGTTTTGTTTTCCCCACAAGGCCAGTTGGCTCAGGTAGCAGCTGGAGAAGGGAGACTACGCCTCCATTGAACTTATGGGATCTGGAGTTTGGTCAGTTCTCACCAGTCTGCTGCGGCTGTTTTCTCCTCCTCTCAAAATAAAATTCTTATCTTAAATAAACCCCATGGTGTCAGATGGAGAAGGGAATGGCTACCAGGAGCCGGATGATGGGCAGTTAACCAGGCTGTGTCTCTCTCCCCTAGTGGCAAGTTGGATTTGATCATTTCCAGGGATTTCCAGAGTTTAGACATGCTACTTTTTGGACTCCATGCCCCATAATCCCTCACTCAGCAGGGCTATAGTGACATGGTGGGGGTGGGTGGTGGGTGGGAGGCTTCTATTCCCAGAGATTAGTTTGTCCAAGCTACATTTTTTAACTATTTCTAGCATTCTATTCCATGGTCAAGGGCTTTTGTCCATAGGTTCCTCTCATGCTGGTTTAAATCCTTCTCCCTGACAACAAATGATATTTTTTTGTAAAGATGAACAGTTCTAAATTTGCAAAAATGTCTTTGTCCCTTTAGTGGACCCATGTTGCTGATATACCAGCTTCTAGGTAACCACTGGTTATTCCTGGACAGCTCTAATATTAATTAGGATCAAGCGGCTGATCTCATACTGCATTTGTGAGACTAATTTTTATATTTTTTTAAATGTGAGCTTTTGTGGACAAGTCCACTTCATCAGACATAAAAGAACAAGATTTAACATGGCAAATATTTATATATGGATCAAAATAAAGATCTCTAATACAGAGATTGTTGTCAGCTGGTAAGAAAGTCAGTGACTGTTTAACGTTTGTGGCAACAGCATTTTTGATCTGCAGGTCTTTCATTGACTCTTGTACTGTAAAGAATGTGAGAACCTCTGTCATAAAATAACAATGGTAGAGTAAAATGAATGTTAATTAGATTGCCTTTTTACAGGGGGAAAGTTCATCTATGACTATAAATACCCACATTAAAAAAATATAAAAGTTTGTTTTTCATTTTTGTCTTTTTTAACTTTTTATTTCTATGTTGCTTTTATCTATAATGCTTGCACAGGCTAACACACTTATCCCTTCTACAACTGCAGTTGTGAGGTACACCTTCAAAGGGCAGATTTATTGGTATTTAGACTTAGGCTTTTGTGCTTCAACGATGAGGCTATTTGAATTTTCTTCTTCAACTACACGAATGTCTTGAGCTGTCTTTCAATATTATTATTACTCAAGCACATAAAAAGTTTGTTATGCTAGGTATTAATCAAGTCACATCCAACTAATAGCAAACTAATAGGGTTTTCAAAGTAAATGAGATATTTGAGCAGTGGTTTTAATAGAGCCACTCCCCTTGAGTGTCTGTGACCAAGCAGGGATTCAAACCCACGCGTTCTGAGTCCTAAAGTGCCACTCTATTCACTATGCCACACCAAGTATTATAATAAGTACAATCTATCCACTCTTCCCCATCTTTTTATCAGCAAGCTTTAATTTCTCATTTTACCTTCTTGTAAGTATAGGGTATTAGGAACATATTTTATGATTACATTTATTTTACTTGCCTTTAGTGTTTTATGAGGATTGCTGGCCACTTTGAACACTACTTTGTAATTGAAAGGTGGGACATTTATTTATTTGTTTGTTTGTTGTTGTTGTTGTTGTTGTTGTTGTTGTTGTTGTTATGTTTTATTATTTCTCAGCATTGTTTGAAAGGAAGACCAAAGAGTCAAACCTAAAAATTAGCAGTGTTTTCTGATAGTATCTAGTGCAAACAACTTGATATTGAATTGAATATTGAATCACACTGTTTGAGCCTGAAGACAAATTGATTTAAGATACAGGTTTGGTTGCTGCTTATTGCAGTTATTATCCAGGAGGTAACTGGAGTGCTGTCCCTCTAATGGTTTCTCAAACCATGCATTGCTGCCCTGTGGGGCTTTAATTAAAGTACTGTACATTGGTTCTCGCTTGCAAATTGTAGTACTGCTAGCCCTTTACAATTTTCTTCTGTCATCTGATTAGGTGGAACCATTTTCTCATGGAATTACAGCTTAAAAGCTTGACTATTTGACCCATACACAGATTCTTGAGGTTGGCAAGCCTGCACCCACATATGTTCTGTGGCAAATAAAGGTGCTCTATATACACTTTTGAATTATGACACCAGTATTATAATAGGAGGATTTTAGTTTTCCTCTTTAAATAAGCCAGTTCACAATTTGAATATGTTAATACCAGGGTGCCCAGCTATGAATAACAGTATATTTTCCTTTTCTATTGAGTTCTATTCTGAGTACTGTCATCACTATATCAAAGTACTTGTTCGTAAATAACGACTGAGAATAACACCCAACTCTATACTGCATCTCCTTTTTATATAAATCCAAGAAAGCTGTTTTGGCTCTTGATCAGTGTTTGGTGTCAGTAATGGACTGAATAAGGGTAAATGAACTGAAACTTAATCTGGGGGGGGGGGGGGGCTCCTGATCAGTTGAAAGGCAGAGTAAGGAATACTGTATGGGTTCAGTCTGCACTGAATGGAGTTACATGCCCTCTGAAAACATGGGTGCAAAGTTGGGTGTGCTCCTGGATGGGCCTGCTTCTGGAAAGTGTCAGGATGCTTCAGTTGGTCCACAATGTGGCAGCCAGATTGCTCACAGGGGTCACATAACCCATCCACCCCCGGTTACAGCAGTTCCACTGCCTGCCTATCTATTTCTGGGCACAATTCAAAGTGGTAGTTTTAACCTATAAGGCCCTAAAAGGCTTATGTCCAAGCTATCTCAAGGACCACATCTTCCTTTATGGCTTTGCCCAGGTGTTGAGATAATCAGGGAGAACTTTCTCTCTGTCATTGCTCCCAGACTCTGGAACTCCCTACCACGGGAGGCCAGGCTGGCCCCATTGTTGCTGTCTTTCCACAATTAGACAGAGACCGTCCTCTTTAGACAGGCTTTCTCTCAGTGACTGGCTGTCTGGGAGAGTTTCTTTAAAATGGATTATTGTGCCTTCTGGCTTTTAAATATGTTTTTAGTATTGATTTTAGGTGCTGTTTTTAATATATTTGTTGAATTCTTTGTAAAATATCTGTATTTACTGTATTTGCTTTTAAATATTGTCTTTTTAATTATGTAAGCTGCCTTTTTAAGGAAAAAGAGTAACAAAATTTTAAATGAATGAATGATTGAATGAATGAGTTAACAAACAGTTTTAAGTTTCTTGTGGTTTATGTTGACATTTTAATAGATGCCTGGATATAGATTTCCTGTTTTTCTAATTTGCCTTTTATGTGGATAATAGCATATTTATCAACACTAGGTTCCCCTTGATATTTTTTAGTCCAGTTGTGTCCGACTCTAGGGGGCGGTGCTCATCCCAATTTTCAAGCCGTAGAGCCAGCGCTTGTCCGAAGACAGTTTCTGTCGAGTTTTATTTTTATACCTGTATAAGACTTAGCAATGTTTAAGAGACTGTTCCATTTATCACGAAAGCTTGCTCATAACTTATTATTGTCCATTTACATTGAATGTAAAACATTTAGACTATTGTATGTAAAACATCTAGACCATACCACTAGTTGGTATGGCTATATCACCTCCAGTACTAGAAGCTGTATGTTCTGTATATCACCTGCTGAAAACACAAAATGGAGGCTGTCCTTATGTCTTGTTGGCAGGTTTCTCACAGGCAACTGGATGGCCACTGTGTCAATAGAATGCTGATCCAGATGAATATTCGATCTGATTCACTAATTATATTCTTACATTCTTCAGCAGGGAGGCATTTAAATATATATTTTCTTGTAGTCAGTATTGTCTCATTCAGTAAAAGAAACACTTACTTATCAAAGATATTTTTATATAGCACTTTCTTTTGACGGGCTTTCATAAGTAGTTTAGATTAAATATTACCAATAAGCATCAATAAAAACTATAGAAAGAAACAGACAAAACAAACAATGGGAGCAGCAGAAACTTTTTGTAAAAGCTGACTTCCCATTCCTTCCATTCATGGGAGTTATACTCCACCTTCTTCTCAATGAGAGACAAGGCAATATTAATTTTTTTAAAGAATTTAATTGAAATGCAAAACAAAATTAACAGAATTAATATTAATACAGAATTTAATACAGAATTTTAAGAAAATACATCAGTCAACTTGAAATCAGTCCCATTCTCAGCAGACAATTGATTGCCCAAATCCTGTCTTAATAAAAGAAGATTTTACTTGCTAGCGGCAGGATAAAAGGTAGGGGGCCAACCTTGTGCTAGGGAGTTATTTCTGGCATCTCTCCCATACATATCTGAACTAAAGAATTTAATGCACAAGCAGACTGTTATGTACTAAATACAGACTGTTGAGGGCAAATACTTCGGAGTTTGATTAGTAATCAAGTAGATTTTTGTATAGACC